AGCACCTGTCATGTATCAGACACTGTGGCTGCATTCTAGATACTTCAAGAGAGCAAGATTCACCACCCCAACATGTGACTGGCGAGAGGATTATTTTAGGCTGATTATTTTAAAAGGTGAAGAAAAACCTTTCTTAATATTTTATCAGAAGCAGACCAATATTCCAAGAAAACTTTGTCCTTGTAGAAGATGAAAGAAAATTATATAAGCATACTATCGATATTAAAGCTCATTTTTAGAACCCTTATAATAATAATAATTCCATTTGAGCTAACTTAATCACACAAGGTAAAATTCTTTTTTCTCCCTCCCTTCTTTTCAATATATATTTCATTTGTCCTTCATTTTCTTCCTTTCCATTCCAAAATAACTAGTTCTAGTTTAGACAAAATTACTCTCATTTCCCTTTAAAAAAACCGCATCTTCATACCTCATATCTTTTCTTAGCCAAAACACATCTTACTTTTATGCATAAAATTTGTTTCCCCTGATATTTGTTTCTAGCAGTTTTAATTACAATTAGAATTTCTAATTAGAATTTTTAATCTTTAGAAACCTTTTAATTTCTAGTGAAAACTAAAAAGTAAACAATTATGAACTTTTTTACATTAGCATTCTGTAGATTGGCAGACTTATAAATATTATTTCTGATTTCTAGAAACATGTTTTCTCATAGAAATGTTTCTCAGCATGGCGCAAAACATGTTTATTAATAGACTCAAATATTTTTAATTCTTCCATGAAAGGAAGCCAAAAGTGGATAAACCTGTGTTTAGTAATTAAGTTTAACTATTTTGTCTTCTTTGGAAATGATCTAGATACTCAATGAATTTCCATTTTTTAACTTAACTTAGCAAAATGTTAAGGTTTCTAGTAACCAAAAAGGTTTGGGGAAAACTCTTTAAGTAGATATACCATAAACCTTGATTATTGTTTGAAAGTTTTCCTAAAGTTTTATCCCACTTACACCTATCTAAATCATTTACTCCCAAAAATTATGTTTCGAGTACTCACAAAAACTTCGTGAGACATTAGACAAAGTCAACCATTATCTTGACCTAATTTTGTTGCTGACAAATTTTACAACAAAGATGCCATGAACTTGTGACTAGTAAACGCAGGTAGAATAAAAGTTGTATGTCTGCATTATGGTCAAGTTGATAACTTTAAAGACATTCCAATTTAGTTAAATAAATAAACTTCACATAGCTCTTATTTACCAAAGATTATACTAGATTATGTGAACGACAACAAAAAAAAAAGGTTAGTTTTTATATTTCTGAGAGTATACCAAATTTAAATAGCACTTGCTTGTCTTTAAATCAATTAATTAGAGCTCTTTATAAATTAATTTTGGCAATACCATAAGGAGGTAGAAAATACCACACATTTATAACACATATGTATATAGACACACATAAACATACAGACAGATGAAAACACAGACCCTACAGCCTTAAAATTTTAGCATGAGATGAGTATGATCTTGTAAAATTCACTAGTTATAAAAAAGCAGTTGGATTGAAATTCTGTTTTGCCAGTTGAAATAAGTTTAAGATTTTTCATTAGCCCAATTTCCAATCTCCCTTTTTTTTTCTTTCTGATAAAAAACATTTGCATTTCAATGAATGACTCCCCAGAGAAGATGGAGGTAGAAAATCTATATCACAGAGGCACAGAAAAAGTATCCAAGTTCTCTCCAAGATGACATTTTGGGGGCATGGTTTCCTATTATCGGAGGTTTAAGGAATTATAATTTACATATTTGCTTCTTTTTCTTAATTGCTGGACTATTCGGTTTCCAAGTCCCAATATCATAAGAATTTTAAAATAAATTAAGAAGGCTGGAAATTGGTAAAGGTAAGTGGAATTTTAAATTTGTTTCTGGAGTCACACCTCTGGTCTTATAAAGACTAGATTTGTAAAACAAGAATAGCTGTTTTTAATTCCTCAAAATTTGGTTGCTGCCTAAATGATGGCAAGGGACTGATCCACCCATCCAATTTCCTTCTTTCCCTCTTGATACATAGTTTCATTTTAGCTTAGGGGAGAAAGCCTGCTCTGAATATCAGCTTTGCTCATAAATTTAGTCTGACCGGTGACCTCTTATATTATTTTCTGCCTTTTTCTACGGCTACTAATCTCAGGAAGTAAGTCATTTACAAAAACTTTCAAAGACCCTCCCTGGGTTTAGAAATTCTTTAACTATGGCCCTTAGTTTGGCCTTTGAACAAGGAGTGAAAGACAAGGGAAGAGGATTGTCTGTAGCCTCAGGTGGTCTTATTTTAAAAAGTAGCTATATAATAATCTCATCAGAGTGAAAAGGCAACTCAGACAAAACATCACTAAAATAGATACTCAGATAAAGGCAGATAGAGGGGAGCAGTGAAGTCAAGTCGATTTTACAGTCTTTTTGTTTGCGTACCCCTTATATCTTTAATTTTTCCTTAGCTTTCTCTAATAAAACTTTCAATGAAACTATTTTTTTAATTTTGAAGCCTTTTGGAGCCTTCTGCACATCAATCAAAATAAGTATCTCATTCTGTTGCTTGATTTGGAAGACCTTGCTCTTAAGCACACGTTTTAAATCAACTAATTGAAACGTTCTTCACAATGGCCATTAGAATTTTAAGTTGTAATTTCCTTGAGGGCTGGCAGCAGTCTGGTAGGATGTTAGCCACCAATGGAGTTTAAGCCACATTATCTGTGCAGCCAAATCTAGCTGCACATGGAATGCATCCCACATTTCTCTTCTCCCATAATTTGGGGCCCCACCCTGACAGTTACCAAGCCAAGTTCATAAAAAAAGCTTAGTAAGCTTTTTCCATTTTTGTAGATATTTATAGCTTCTGGGATCGTAGTCCTTAGACATAAAATAAGCAGGTATGCTAGATGGTAGAGCACTGGACTCTTTGAAGCATAAAGGAATTTGCTAAGGAAATTTTAAGAAGAGCTGGATTTTAAGAACGGGGATTTACATTGGATGTGAAATTTAATTTTGTTACAAGTTTCATTTCTGTTCTTTCATCTTAGTAAGAAAGCCCCTAAGGCTAGCTGTCATATTTTGTATCCACTATTTGATTTGATCTGTACATAGGAACCAACAAGACAATTGTTTAGGATAAAAGCTCTCTAAAAATATATCTTTTAAATAGAGCCAACTCTAAGAATCAATTATGTGGCCATTGATGAGTAGGATCCCATATTAACTTCAATAATGACTCAAACAAGGCTTAGCAAAAGATGCAAGAGGCATCCCAAAAAAGGGTGCAAATAAAAAGGTACAGCCCTCAGAAGATTCAGAATTTTTATTTCCAGAGTTAGTTTAAAAAAGCAAAGATCACTGTTGTCATAGGCGGTAAGAATGGCGTAGAGAAATGGTGTCTTCAGCTTCTCACAAGAACATGAAATGCCTCCAGTCATGGACCCACTATCCGTGATGCCACTGCTCCTGGAATGGGACTTTTCCAGCACTAACAAGACAATGAAGGTTAAGATGATGATAGCCCCTGAGAGTTGGTATGGCCAAAGAGAATGCTGCTTGTGACTTCATGTCTTGGAATCCCGGTCTATTCCGCTAGCCACCAGATGTACCCTAGACTATGCACCCTTCAGATGGCAAAAGCCAGAAAGAATATTCTCACTGGTTGCAGAGCCAAGCTTTCAGGACATAGAACAAAATGAAAGGAAAACTTCATTCAGTTGTTATGTAGGGGACCCACAGCAAAGTTTATCTAAACAGATGCCAATCTGGTAAGAACCGTGAACCCACCAGTCTGTGAGGCTGGCTTGAATAATGGGCTTATAGGACAAATGCCCATGTTCTACCCAATGGTTTTTATTCCTTATGACGAACAACACAAAAGACAAAGACAAAAGAAAACCATAGCCATCTTTGAGAGTAAAAGAATCAATAGAAATTGAGAGTACTCACAACAAATCTTTACTAGAGTCATTATACCCAAGAAACTAGTTTCACGAATACTTTCTCTTGCTAATATAAATTTTGAAAAGGAAAAAAAGGCTCTTCCCACTCCCATTTCCATCAGATATCCAAGAATAGGTACCCAGGGGTCTAAAGTGGTAAGAATTCTTATCTCTGCCAGTGCTTGTCAGAGTCCCAGGGTCTCTCAGCTGCAGCAGCCTTAGGGCAAGCAGTGTCCGGAGAGTGAAGTTCACCCTGTCAGCTATGCCAACTGTAGGAGAGGAAAAATTTTACTTCTACCCTTCTAGGTTCTTTGGCTGGTCTAATTCTCAAATCAATGTAAGACAGATTAACTTTTAACAATTGTAAGACAGATTAACAGGAGAAAAACATTTACTTTTGCACATACAGAGCCCCAAAGATATGAGGCTCCTGGGAAGTCCGGCAATTGACTTAGATGCTGTCCCAAGCTAAGGAAAAGGGGTATGGAATTTGGGGCTTCAAAGGAAAGAAGACAATTCATAGAGAAATGATAACAACCAATGTTTGCCACATCGTGCAAAGAAGGCTTTCTGATGTAAAAAGAAGTTGTTTTTGTAAGAGTTCTCTTCCTGGTATAGGCTCCTGATCTAAATTCTTCTAGACAGTTAAGGGGGAGGTAAAAAAAATTCTCGAGTCTTCTGTTTATTAGAAATAATCAGCCTGAAATAATCATCGTGCCAAAGAGACACATGCTGGGGTGGCAAATTTTGCTCCCCTACAATACAAAGAGATAAGATACAGAGTTTGCTTTCAAGTCACTCAGTTTTTTTATTTTTCCTACCTTTATTTATAAAGAACACAAGTCCTCCTCATGACACAGACAGAGACGCTCACACATTCACGGAGGAGCTCACTAAAAACAACGACAACAACAACAGAACTAGAAGACAGTGGGAACTTATTTCACACCAGTCTGTGTGCCCTACCCAGGGGTCACTGGGAATGTTTCCTCAGATATGACATCTCACTTCAAGAAAGGAAAGGAGACCTTGATTTGGAGTCGCACCCACCCACCAAGCAAAAAGCTGCCCACTCAGTCTTCAACATCATCAAACTGTCCTGTTTCAAAGACTATCTTGGAATAATGCGGTATCAGTGGAGGTGGATGGTGCCAATTGGGGTCATGGACCATGTCTCCTTGCCGGGCACAGCACACCCAAGGTTTGACTTCTTGAGAAATGCAACCTTGGATGTCATCAGTATCATATGGATTCTCTTGATCTGCTTTCAATTCCAAGTCTCGGTCCTCATTAAAAAGATCAGCAGCCTGTTCCTTGGGTGGACAGCCAGACACCCCTTCAGACAGCTTCCAGGTATTCAGCTCCCTGTCAGAATCCTCATCATCCACAGCAAAGGTTTCCTCTTCAGAAAGGATGCCCTCACCACCGGCAGGACTATCATTAGGGATGCTCTGTTGATCTGTGGCCTTCTCAATCTCTCCTGAATGGAGTGGTCATTTGGGGCAAAGCTGGCCCCTGGGCTAGGGGGCAATTCCCACGTGCTTGGCAGCGGCAGACCCCGAGGAGGCTCCTGGGCCCCCATGGTCTGAGGGTCCATGCCTAGCCCGGCGGCCCACGGCTCTGTGCCCTGGACGTTGCTCGGCCACGTGATGCGCCAGTCTCTCGAGTTACTCAGTTCAACTCTAGCCGACAATTTTTCCAAAATCTATTTTAAATACTATTGAATAAGTGAATAAATAATTTTGTAACTCTGTAACAATTGTTCTAAGGGGAAAGTCTCCCCTTTGTCAACACCTACGAGGTTGGTAACATAAAGGAGAATGTTCTTATTTCTTCAGCTGGACTTTTGTGCCCTGGCATACGAGGTTGGTAACATAAAGGAGAATGTTCTTATTCAGCTGGATGTTTGTGCCCTGGCGCCCAGCAGCCCATAGTGAGGGTGTAAACCAATGTCTGATGAATGTCAGCACAGGGCACTCCTATCCATTCCGGATGCTTTTGTGCCCAAATACGAATGAACAATAATAAAGGTTTTGGTAGCTCTTTGTTAAAGGTTTAGGAAATTTTTCCAAAACCTGAAATAGTAGGGGAGTGGTGGTGATCTGTGGAATCAATTCCTATGCCCATGGCCACCTCGCTCTGATAAACTCTCCATAGGCAGAAGCTCCTCTGCCTAGTCCTTTCACAGTTGCCCGGCATGGATAGTTCCTTTTCTTCAACTCCATTTCCTCCTGCTCTCTTCTCTCTTGCTGTTTCATCCCCAGCTAGTGGCCCAGCATTACAATCTCAACTCCTATCCTAGGATATCCTGTACCTTCTGACAAATAATTAAGCCCAATAGTCTGGTCAATTTCTGTTTCTTGTAAATTTCCCAATCTCAGGCACCCACCACACAGCAAATGCTTTCTTCCAGACACAAGTTCTGCAGGTGTATAAAGTACAGAGAAGGTTTGCTAGTTCCACTCAGGAAATGAGCTCATGACCCTTGGATTTAGGTGGCGAAGGAAGAGAAACAGCAGACTTTTCTCTCTGAGTCGTAGCAGCTTTTATCCTAAAGTACCCTAATATAACAGCAATAACATTCCCCCAAAAGAAATAAAACTGGTTTAGTTTTCTTCCACTGGCAGTGTGTATCTTTCCTAGTAACATTGCTTTAAGAGTCAGTGTTTGGACTTCTGGTCAAGATGGTATAGTACATAGACACTGTGCTCACCTCCCCTTACAACCACATCAAAATTACAACTACAGTACAGAATAACCATCTTTGGGAGTCACCTAAGTTCTGGCTGAACAGATGTCCTATGACTGCAGACATACATAGGAGGCCACCTTGAGATTGATAGGAGGGGTGAAAACATGAAAAGGCTGGTCTCCATACCCATGTGTGGTGGTTAGAATCAGGAGAACTGTCTTGGCTGAAAAGGTAGCCCCAGAGAAGCAAGGGGTCCCAGCCCCACCCAGGGCTCCCCAGTCCAAAGTTCCAATGCCAGGAAAAGAAGTTCCCACAACTTCTGGCTGTGAAAATCAGAGATTGTGGCTGAGTGAGACAGAGGGCTGCAAGAGTTGCAGACAATTCTTTTAAAGGGCCCACGCACAGACTTACTCAGTGATGGACTCACTCTGAGCTCCTAGGCAGTGTACAGGCTGCAGCTGAACTTGGCCTTCAGTGGAGACTCTCCCAGGAGGCCCTGGGGCCAGCATGCCCAGAGGTCATTTTCCACCAGAGCTGGAGCACCACCCAGTGCTGCATCCAAAAACAACACACCCAAAGGGCAGACTGGGCAGGCCCCAGGGCCCTGCTAAAGCAAATCCTGCACTGTAGGGTCAGCCCTTCACCAGGCAGTCGTCACAACCAATCAGCCCAAGGATCAAGCCCTCCCATTGATGTGAAAATAACAATCAAGGCTCAAGTGCAACACAAGGATACATATAACCCATACAAGGGACAGACCTGGAGCACCTAATTCAGGTGACCAGGGAAGACTCTGCCACTCGTTTCCACAGAACACCTACTACATAAGTCTACTTTATGAAGACCAGGAGATCTGGGAGCTCTGCCTAATAAACAGAAATATATGCAGGGAGGCAGGCAAAATGGGGAAACAAAGAAACATGTCTCATATGAAAGAACAGAAGAAACCTCCAGAAAAAGTATTTAACAAAATGGAGACAAGCAATCCACCAGATGCAAAATTCAAAATGCTGGTTATAAGGATGCTCAAAGAACCTAAGGAAAGAGTAGATAACTCAGTGAGAACTTTAACAAAGAATGGGGAAGCCCAGGACACTCAATCAGAGCAGCAAGAAAAAAGAAGCCAAGATTATGATAATAATTTAAGGAGCCTATGGGACAAAATTAAATGTAACAATAGTTGTGTCATAAGGGTACCTGAGGAAAAGAGGGAGAACAAAAAGTTGAAAACCTATTTAAAGAAATGGTGGAGAGCTTCCCTAACCTGGTGAAGGAAATAGACATAGAAGTCCAGGAAATGCAGAGAGTTCCAAAAAGGATGACCCCAAAGAGATCCAGACCATAATTAAAATGCCAAAGGCTAAAGATGAAGAGAACCATAAAAGCAGCAAGAGAAAAGCAGTTAGTTACCTACAAGGGAGCTCTCATTAGACTGTCAGCTGATTTCTCAACAGAAACTTAGCAAGCCAAAGGGATTGGCAGGAAATATTCAAAGTGATGAAAAGCAAGGACCTACAACCAAGATTACTGTACCCAGCAAAGCTATCATTTAGAATCAAAGGACAGATAAAGAGCTTCCCAGAGAAGAAGAAGCTAAAAGAGCTCATCACTACAAAACCAGTATTTTAAGAAATATTATTAGACAGACTTCTTTAAGAAGAAGAAGTGGAGGGTGGGAGTCAAAAATATAAATAATAAAATGGCAATAACTACATATCTATCAACAATTATTTCAAATGTCAATGGATTAAATGCTCCAATCAAAAGATAAGATGACTGAATGGATAAAAAAACAAGACCCTTACATTCCTTACAAAAGACTCACATCAAATCAAAAGACACACACAGACTGAAAGTAAAGGGATGGAAAAAGATGTTTCATGAAAATGGAAACAAACAAACAAAAAAGTCTGGGGTAGCAGTACTTATACTAGACAAAATAGACTTCGAACAAAGGCTATAACAAGAGACAAAGAAGGACCCAATAATCCCACTTCTGGGTATTTATCTGAAGAAACTCAAACTACTACTTTGAAGGGACATGTGCATCCATATGTTCATTGCACCATTATTTACAAGAGCCAAGATATGGAGGCAACCTGGGTGTCCATCAATGAATGAATGGATAAAAAAGAGATGGTACATATATACAATAGAATATACTCAGTCATAAAAAAAACATATATTTTTAAAGAATGAAATCTTGCCATCTGCAACAACATGGATGAACCTAGAGAGTATTGTACTGAGTGAAGTAAGTCAAACAGAGAAAGACAAATGCCATGTGATTTCACTTACATGTGGAATCTAAAGAATTAAATAAGCCAACAAAAAGAAACAAACTCATAGATAAAGAGAAAATTTTGAGAGTTGCCGGATGCAAGGGGGAAGGGGGAGTGGGTGAAAAGTAGGGATTAAGTGGTACAAGTTGGTAGTTACAAAATAATCATGGAGGTGTAAAGTATAGCATAAGGAATATAATTAATAATATTGTAATAACTATGTATGGTGTCAGAAGTGTACTAGATTTATCGGATGATCACTTCGTAAGTTATAGAAATGTCTAATCACTATGTTGTACACCTGAAACTAATATAATATTATATGCCAACTATAATTGAAAAATTAAAAAATTTATTTTAAAAAAGTCAGTGTTTATGTGCATCTACCATACTGTGAGAATAAAGAGATGTACAAACAGATATTTATAAACAGCCAGAGAAAAGAGTGACCTCACTTAGTGAGGTTGAGAAAGACTTCATAAACAATGTGATATTGAACTTGACATTTGAAGGAAGTTCACCAGGAACAGAGGTGGCGCAAGCATGGAAAAGCTTGGGGTCATATTTCTGGCAAGGGGGAAACATGTGCAAAGCACTGAGGCATGACTCCGCCTGATGTGTCGAAGACATTATTACAGGTTAGCCATTCTAAAAATATTTCGGGTATCTTAGACCTGTAGTTTCCTCCCTAGTCACTGCTCCATAGAAAGACTTCTGAAGGCAAGGCCCGCACTACTTTTGAAAAATAACAATAAGAGACTCTGAGATGGTCCCCAGCTGACTTTATAAACATCCTCTCAATGTCACTAATGTTAAGTGAAGCTCTCTAAAGGATAACAGATCCAGAGTCAGGAAGGGAAGAACAAAGCCATGTGCAATGCGATTTGTACATTCTAATGTCCCAAATGAAAAACATAAAATTCAATTTCATCTGTCCTTCCATGGCTTCTTAATGTAATTCAATTTGATCCTAATTTTTCCCAAACTCCATTTAAGATTGTTTTAAAAGGTTATTAAAGGGCTATTTAGGAAGCATGAGATCCTACAACATTAAAGTAATTACTGAGGTCAAGGAGGCTACAACACAACAGGATGGAAGAGATCATGGAACTAAAAGAGAGACCATGATAAATGTCGTAAAAAAAAAAAAGGTATAATCTATGAAAGAAGAGATGATGGAGGAATCAGTGAAGTTTGCTGAAGCAAGTAGTAAGCAAGGTCATAGGTCATGAAGGTATGGCAGGAGTTTGTCAGATGAAAATGTGGGAAGACGGCAATTCAAGCAGAAGGAGCAGCCCATGGTGGGAAAACCCTGGACATGTGTAGAATTGTCCAATAAAACTTTCTGAGATGATAAAAATGTTCCATATCTGCACTGGTCAATGTGGTAATCACTAGCTATTTGAGGCTACTGAATCCTTGAAATTTGACTACTGCAACTGAAGGACTAACCTCCTAATCTTATAGAACTTTAATTATTTTTAATTTAAATAGCCACTGTGGAAATAAATGAAAACCAACCAAATGGAAACAGGCTAAAGCTGTTTGCTCAAGAGTTTCCATAACAAGGAAATCGGTCACTGGCATTTGAATTTTGGCAGCAACTCAAAGGCAGGAGGAGGA